AGAGTGAAACACGGACGAATGTCATTTCATCAAGTCATTTTACAACCCGGAAAACTGGGAGAACAGTTCCGTTTTATCCAACACAGATAAACGTGATTCTGGCAGCGTTTATTACACCTGTTGTTGTACGCATCATGGCAGTTCAGAAATGAAATGTCCGGTGAGTGGTGCCAAAAAGTTAATGCTGAATCATGTTTGAAAACAATGCACCACCTATCAGTGTTGTAGTCGAGACCACCTCACTCGAGTCCGAGTCGACACCGAGACCAGAGAGAGTCGAGTCCGAGTCAAGACCGAGTCCATAGAGAGTCGAGTCCGAGACCAGAGACGGTCGAGTCCGAGTCGAGACCGAGACCAGTGAGTGTTGATTACCTAATTTACTTTTATTTACTTAGAGAAATCCTTTTTTTTTTTTTTACTGAATTTACTTAGAGTTTAAAAAATATAATCAGTTTAGGGTAAAAAGGCCACATAGTAGGTGGTGTTAAAAGTAATTTTATTACAATTTGTCATGCGCAGTTGCGCACTAGAAATCACCAATCACTGGGCGTGTCAATCAATTTAAAGAAATATTTTATTAACATACATTAATAATCATGATAAATATTTTTAATTGAACTCGAGTGGACTCGATAATAATTCCGAGTCCTAAAAAAAAAAATGTTCGAGTACGAGTCAATTCCGAGTCCAAATGGACACGAGTCCATGACAAGACCAAGACCATTAAAATATGGTCTCGAGACCGAGTCCGAGACGAGTCCGAGTCTCGAGTACTACAACACTGCCACCTATACTAAACCTGACCCTATAACCAATAGTGTTAAAGACATAGTTCACTTAAAAATTAAAATGTAAAAAAAAAAATGTACTCCCTCAAGTTGTTTCAAACCTGTATGCATTTCTTGCTTCTGCTGGACAAGAAGATATTTTGAGGGATGTTGGTAATCAAACAGTTGGATCTCATTGACTTCCATAGTGGAAAAAAAATACAAAAATGAAGGTAGAGGAATGTTTTTTGGTTAGCATAGTCTAGATAGTGTAGACCTAGTTTGGCTCTGCCCTCCTACGTACTTCCGCTCAATTTTCATTTTCCTTCAGTACTACGTCTGGGTTTGTGGTGTATTCTTTGGTTTTCTACAGTCAATTTTTTACTGGTTCAATCAGCGAACAGAGGGAGTGGCTGAGAACGATGGCGTAGCTGTCATGCGCTAGTTTGAGTCGTCTTACGTCACGGCTAAAGGTTAGCGATTGATATGGCAGATCCAGAGTGACTCAGGGCAGATCCAATAGTTTTAAACTTCATCAGAGGACCCGCCTACAAGGAAGTTAACGCTCGTCAATAGAGCGAGGCCAGACTCTCTGTACAAATGAAATGAGAGTCTAGTGATTCACTGTTGATGGTGTGGTAATATGTGAGGTTGGGGATCTTAGTGTGGCGACTCAGAGGAAGGCAAACCAGAACAGCTTCTCTCAGATAGGTCGTTATAATTGGTTCACATAAATCAAAAACCAAAAAAGGGAGGGTTCTCTCTTTTTGTTTTGCAGTTCAACAAAAGTTATAGGCTCCAACGGCCTACACAGGGCAAAAAAATACACACTTCAACTGAGAAGAGTGGCTGCCTCTGAAATCACATACTGTCTCGGGTAGGTACTTATTTTGTAATTAAGTTATTACTTCATTGACTGCTAAAAAGGATGGTCCGTAGTATGAATGTAATCTGGATGTACTACATTCATCATGACCCACAGCATTAGTTGCGTCATTTCACCGTCATTCCGAAATCCTCTCCTGTGGCCTCATGGGATAGTAAAGTGTCTATCGTATACACACTTCAGAATCTCACCAGAAATAGTGGGTCATCCGGGTATATTTTGCCAACTCCTTTATGAGTACTGTGAATTCAGACATCCTTCTTCACATACTTTTTTTGTCTACTGTAGTAGGGAAGTTTGCGATTTTGGTTGCCACCAGTGTTGGGAAAGTTCACTTTCTACATGAACTAGTTCAAAGTTCAGTTCACAAATTTTAAAATGAACTAGTTCAGTTTATAGTTCATACTTCACAATTGTGAACTAAGTTCACAGTTCCAAAAATGAACTAGTTCATAGTTTTTTTTTCCATATGTTGCCGTGAGCTATTTTAGTTTTTTTTTTTTTTTATTATTGCCACAGCCCTTATATAACCACATACAGCAATTATTTAATATGCAGGCAAAGTTTGCACAGAAATGTAAGATTTTTCTCATCCTCACGACCTTTAAAAACTCGTCTAAATGATGATCGATGCTATGTCGACTACATGCTGCTTTTTGTTTTGATGACGAATGCGGTGCGACACTGGTGGCTGGTGTTGCCAGATTGGGTGTTTATTTCGCTACATATTAAGGCCTGTTAACGGTGTGTTTTAGCCTGGAAGGCTCTATAGAAATCTGGCACCCCACTGAACAAAGTTAAACTGAGAGAGCGTTCATTCACAGACACTAGAATGAACGCGTTCACAGTAACGTTCATCAGGCAGTAATACAGTACGTTCAGTTCACGTTCGGCCAAAATATGAATGAGTTCATGAACTATCGTTCAATGAACGCACTCAGGCACAACACTGGGTGTCTCCTACATTGGCAGAACTTACAGTAGCCGCTGGTTAAGTGCCAGTTTGGGGATTGTAGTTCTCTATTGTCGGCCATCTTGTTACTGGCCTCAACGCATGGGATTCTGGCAGTTGTAGTTTAGGTGGAAGGCTACCAACCACCTTTTTGGGACGTACTGTACCTCCCATCTAATGCACGACCTCTGGTGATACCACAAGTGTAAAAATATATCACTATATTATAGCAAGTGAATTTTTAGGGTTGAAAATGCGGCTGCACTGAGATAAGCGGCAGTGTTGAGCCGTAGCTTTGCTAAAATCATGAAGCTTTAAATAGAAGTTAATTAGTAAGGTACCACAGGCAAACACTACAATTATCTTGCACTACTTCAACAATTATGTTGAAAATGTTCCGTCGGTTGTTAAGAATCAAAACATAGTGATGTCTATTTCGTAAATGAATCACTTCCTTGCAATGAATTGAGTTGGTTAGCAAAGTCTCAGTCAGTTTGTGATTCAGTGTTAATCATTTGGACAGCTCACTCACTCACTCAGTCACTCACTCACTCAGTCACTCACTCAGTCAGTCACTCACTCACTCAGTCACTCACTAACTCACTCACTCAGTCAGTCACTCACTCAGTCAGTCACTCACTCAGTCAGTCAGTCAGTTACTCACTCACTCAATCACTCACTCACACACTCACTCAGTCAGTCAGTCAGTCAGTCAGTCAGTCACTCACTCACTCAGTCACTCACTCACTCACTCAGTCACTCAGTCACTCACTCACTCACTCAGTCAGTCAGTCAGTCACTCACTCACTCAGTCACTCACTCACTCACTCAGTCAGTCAGTCAGTTACTCACTCACTCAATCACTCACTCACACACTCACTCAGTCAGTCAGTCAGTCACTCACTCAGTCACTCACTCACTCAGTCACTCACTCAGTCAGTTACTCACTCACTCAATCTCACTCACTCACTCACTCACTCACTCAGTTACTCACTCACTCAATCTCACTCACTCACACACACACACACACACACAAACTCACTCACTCAGTCACTCACTCACTCACTCACTCACTCAGTCACTCACTCAGTCAGTCACTCACTCAGTCACTCAGTCAGTCAGTCAGTTACTCACTCAATCACTCACTCACACACTCACTCACTCAATCTCACTCACTCACACACACACACACACACACACACTCACTCAGTCACTCACTCACTCACTCACTCAATCACTCACTCACTCACTCACTCGCTCGCTCACTCACTCAGTCACTCACTCAGTCAGTTACTCACTCACTCAATCTCACTCACTCACTCAGTTACTCACTCACTCAATCTCACTCACACACACACACACACACACTCACTCACTCAGTCACTCACTCACTCACTCAGTCAGTTACTCACTCACTCAATCTCACTCACTCACACACACACACTCACTCAGTCACTCACTCACTCAGTCACTCACTCACTCACTCAGTTACTCACTCAATCACTCACTCAGTCACACACACACTTACTCAGTCAGTCAGTCAGTCACTCACACACTCAGACTCATACTCAGTCACTCACTCAGTCACTCACTCAGTCACTCAGTCAGTCACTCACTCACTCACTCAGTTACTCACTCAATCACTCACACACACACTCACTCAGTCACTCAGTCAGTCAGTCAGTCACTCACTCACACACTCAGTCACTCACTCAGTCACTCAGTCAGTCACTCACTCACTCAGTTACTCACTCAATCACTCACTCACACACACACACACACACTCACTCAGTCACTCACTCAGTCAGTCACTCACTCACTCAATCACACACTCAGTAGATATTTACCCTCAATTCGCTAATAACAGTCTGCAAAAGTATTGACTCTCAGGAAAGAAGGGGGGCTCTATTAAGTTAAACTCCTGCATGTTCAGCTTGTTACAGTAATGACTCTTAAATTGAACTCTTGAACGTGTGAATCAAAATTTAGTACACCAAAGCACCACAAAGAAATTTGCGAGTGCACTAACTGTCATGTGAATTCACAAAAACACATTTATTTGGGGGAAATGTTTTGCTCGTAAATTGCACTTGTACCATGAGTCTTTAAAACACTCGTCACTAAGTTTGTAATTTCATCTAATGCAAAGACATTTAGAAATGTTAAATGTGGCCCTAAGTGTGTCGAAATCATTTTTGGAGCCTGTCATGCTGGGACGAGAGCAAAAACAAACATGCAAATGATAATCAAAAGAAAGAAATGGCACTACAAAGAGAAATCTTTGTGATTCCTGTGACTTGAAAAACACAGCGGCACCTGAAGGATGGATTCTCATCTGAAAGCTCGAGGCATTTTGAATCATGTGAAGATCAATGCGGACGTGTGGGAGACTCACCCTAAAGAACTCTTTGGTTGATCCTGAGTCCAAGGTTCCGTATGCGATCTCAGTTTGTTTGGCCAGATCCTCAGCGCTCTCTATGGGAGAGACCATCCTCTCCACTGTGAGGAAAGCAGCCAGGTTAGCCGTGTAGGACGAGATTATGATGAGGGTGAAGAACCACCAGACGCCTCCCACTATTCTGCCCGATAAGGACCTGATGCGCAAACACAAACATTCAGGCTTTGGATGCTTTCCTGATGCACAAACACGCTTGTAATCAATATATCAACCTCACAAACATGTATTTCTGGATGTACACACATGAGACATATTTTGTTGATCCTGGAACAACATTCCTGTCTCCTAAACCCAACTATACCCATAACTTCTCCCAAAGTCAGAGGGAAATTATAACACTGATGTAGAAGCACATTGGTTGTAAACCTAAACTTGACATAAACTGTAATCTTGTCCCTCAAATCTGATTGGTTGATTGGATTATTATTTCAGGATTAACAAAGATCCAACATCTTTGTTAATCCTGGAATAATATTCATTGTTCACCAATTAAACTAATTGGCAATTTCTTGTATTGGTGATTGAAGCCTAGCCCAAGTTAAAGGGATAGTTCGGTAACACTTCATTTTGATGGTCCCTTTTGAACATCCTGTTGACTATGAGTAACTTTGCAACTACCTGTCAACTAACTGTCATCAGAGTATTAGTAGACTGTCTGCTCTATATCTGCCAACTCTTTATAGTGATGCTCCTCCAACAGACATTATACTGACTATAAGTAACTTTGCAACTATATAACCCCACCAGTCTACTAATACTCTACTAACACTCTGGTGAGAGGTAGTGTGCAACGTTACATTACTTATAGTCAACTGAATGTGTTAAAGGGACCATCGCAATAAAGTGAAACCGATAGTTCACCCAAAAACCATCATGTCGTCATCATTGCCTCGCCCTCATGTCATTCCAACGCGTTCTCATCCTTGGGCGTCATATAGTGACGCTTTTGACATTTCGTCTACATACAACGCACCTTTAGTGTCAATATGAAGCGCCTCCTAGTGGTCTAACCCTAACCCTACCCCAGACCTAAACCTACCCATAACCAAACAAAGCTCTGTGCGTGTTATATTGACGCTAAAGGGTGCCATGTGCGTTGGATTTAGACGAAATTTCAAAAGCGTCAGTATAGGATGAGAACACATTGGTCATTCCAAACCCAGAAGTCTTTGGTTTATCTTCAAAACACACATTCATATATTTTTAATGAAAGCTGAGAGGTTTCTGTTCCTCCATTGAAAGTATAGGTAACCAAAACTTACAATATCCAAAAATTTACTTCCACATCTAAACGCACATACATTGAGTGCATCATATATGGTATAAACATGGATATACCAACCAGTTTTATTCTAAACACAAAGCTTCAGTGTTTACTAAATGCATATGCGTATTGATCAATGTTTAGATGTAAATAAAAGCCTAAATGAAATCTATTTATGTAAAGCGACAATGTCTCTTCAGAAGCCGCGATATGGGTTTGTTTACCGGTGTCTTTATGAGCTTTTCGGATCTTATCAGTTTTGGTTAACTGGACTTTCAATGGAGGAACAGAAACCTCTCAGGCTTCATTGAAATGTCTTAATTTGAAGATCAACCAAAGTCTTATGGGTTTGCAACGACATGAGGGTGAATACATGATGAAAGAATGAGCGTTATTTGAGTAACTACCCCATTAAGCCTAAATAAAAACATTAGATTAGGAAATATGTTACAAATCAATTTTAAAATGTTTTTTGGTGAATTTATAGAGGACGAGATTGCAATGTCAAAGCGGTGCATCTCATTCTTTGAACAAGTGGTCGATCATCTCTATTCTGCTCTATCAAATCATCTTCTTGTAGTCCACGTTCATCCACTTCGTTTAGATACATGACTTGCATCCTCTTTAGCCACATAGAGAAGCATTTTTTTTTCCAAATGCAATATATTCAGATGTAAGTGTGTAGTTTTCTTTCCTTTGTCTGAATGTTGGGCAGTGGCCTTTAGAAGACCATGCAGGTTTGAGAAATACTCACACAGAATGCAAATAACAAGTAGAAACTCTAGTGGACTTATGTACACACTATAATTATTGAATTTTTAAATGAACACGACTTTTAATAACACTGTAGAGCCATTTGAAAACTAGTCTGCAGAAATATAGTCATGTAAGATTGTAATAACCAATCAATGCTGCAAAGTGTTCCACATAACTAGTGTTGCAGATCAGGGCCAAATGCTGGTTAAAAGCCCCGGGCAGGATTGCACTGATGGGGAAAAGAAAATTAAAATCTATCTACAGCAAAAACAACATAGAATTAGTCTGATAGTGTAATATAGATGTGCGTAAAACTCGAAAAATTTGAATATTGTGCAAAAGTTCATTTTTTTCAGTAACTTAAAAGGTGAAACTTACATAGACTCATTACATGCAAAGTGAGATATTTCAAGCCTTTATTTGTTATAATTTTGATGATTATGCCTTACAGCTTGAAAATGAAAATTAGAATATTGTGAAAAGGTTGTAATAGCTGTAAGCCATAATCATCAAAATTATAACAAATAAAGGCTTGAAATATCTCACTTTGCATGTAATGAGTCTATTAAATGTATTTAACTTTTGCAAGATATTCACATTTTTCGAGTTTCATCTGTAAGTATGGATTAAGATACTTGGTCACAGTCACTTCAACTTAAAATTATACAAAATTCAAATTTCAATCAATTAATGTGCCATCTCATGTCACAGCAAATATGTCATTTGTTGAGATATTTTGAATATCTTAACTGATTCTGAGAAATTTATTAATCTTTTTTTTGTTTATTGAATACTAAATTGGCAGCTGGCAGTGGGGAATATAAGGGACTCTGAAAAATGATCTATGACAGCGAGCCGCACAACGCAGTCATTATTAATCAACTTCCTGCTGTTAAACGGAGGAACAATGTGAATAATCATACATCTCCGTCACAGAAGCCTACAAAGTGCTGCGGTTGGACTTCTCAAACAAAAAAAAATGAGACATTCATAGAAAGAGCCAAATGAGAATATGTTGCTCAGCTAATCCTTTACAAAAGAACAAATTAAAACTAGAGCTGTGTCTGCATATTCTTTCAGACGTGAAATACTGGAATTAGCCTCAGAATTAGACCTGTAATGTGTTTAATGTGCTCTGTCGGTAAAGTCCCCAGTAGCACCTCAATGCAGAACATGAGATCCACGGGGAGGAGTCGGATCACGATCCAAGGGGTGGAGATGGGTAGGATTAGGGTTGGGTTTAGGGATCAGGGGGCGGAGTTGGTTAGATTTAGGTGTATGTAAGGTGGGAGGAGTTGGATCTGGATCCGACTCCTCCCCATGGATTTCATGTTCCGCAGTGAGGACCATCCCTCACAGAAGCGCTTGTGTCATTGATATACAGCACTGAATGACATGTGCAGTTATCATTTAACATTTTTCAAAGAAATCTAAAAAAGTGGTAAAAACAAAAGCAGGTTTGTGAACACTGATGGTCTTGCAGAGTCTCAGCTTTCTTTTACTATTGTTATTTATTATATATTTTCTTTTGGTTATTTATTGTTTTATTGTCGTTCGAAATAAAGCCTGACCTTCAGCCAGAAGCCTGTATGTGGAAATTAACTAACAATAAAATAAAATATACAGTATTTATTAATCTTTGTTAATGTTATTTGGTAAAACTATGTCAGTTCACTGTGCATTAGGTAATGTTAACAAATACAATGTTTGTTATTAACTAAAATTAATAAATGCTGTAGTAGTATTGTAATAAAATACTAAATAGTAATAAAAGTATTGTTCGTTCTTAGTTCACGGTAGCCCTCAAACCGTATTCACTTTATAGCCCTTAATCCTGTAATTGTGGACAAATGTGGGCACAGAGGACTCAGGTGTGATCCTAATTTTTATTTATTATAAATGTTATATCACCGTCTTCGATAAAGTTTTGTCTATCCATTTATGGTGTTTTTCTTTTATTTTGGGTTTATTTTTGAATTTATTTACTTCAAAAAGTACCATATTTTCTATGTAAATTATGCTTATTTTTATGTTTTATTATTATTATTTATTAACTACATTAAAATATCATTCCAATAAGTTCTTAGAGCTAAACCCTAAAGATGAAGTGAGTTTGCTGTCACCTGGTGTCTTTTTTTGGCTTATTTTAGAATGCTCTAAATTACAGTTTTTCCCATTCATTTCTATGGGTGCCCATTTTTGACCCAAATAAAAGATTAAGGAGGTCCCCCCCCCCCCCCCCCACTTAACATTGTAGAATTGAATCCAGAAAAAAAATGTGTGTGTTTAGGTGGCAAACTTAGGAAAAGTGGCCAAGTCTTGTACCGCTCAGATCAAGGGAAGTATTTTTAAAAAATAAATCCATACTATTTTGCCCACATTTGTCCAGAATACGGTTAACTAATGAACCTTCCTGTAAAGTGTTACCGTTATCACATATTTTGACTAATGAATGAAATCCCATTGTCTTGTGATTGATGAATAAGAAAATTAAGGGCACACTATGCAGCAATTCCGTTTTTGTCAAACAGCGCCCCCTAGAGTCACTGTGGAGAACTTGTATTTAAATGTATCTTGTATCGTTACTGTTGTAAATACCACTCACACAGAGCGTCTCTTCCATAGACTGGTCTCTGCACTCACAGCCTGATTCCCATTTGAATCTGTTATATTAAGGTACAAATCTTGCATAGTGTGCTTATTTTGCATTAAATAAGAGATCTAGCGCTAAAATGTGTTTTTGAACTCGTGTCCGCTCTTATCAGTGTCATGGATACACTGTTCTCTCGCGCAGTCTTCACTCACACGCGCTCTTCAATCTATCGCAGTTGCGGAGACTCTCTATTCATTCCGCTTAAATCACAAAATAAAATGCACAAAAACGTGTCCCTGCTTGATATAGACTGCAACCACTGATGAACATATTCAGTTTTGATGACAGAGAAAAAACGTAGAACCTGTAACCTCTGACACGCTTGGTAAAAGATCTCCCACCAAACCATTAAAGAACTCAAACAAAACTTGCGGATCGATGCATTTATTAACGGGTTGAGCAGAGAGACTCTTTCTCTTCTCCTTTCCGCGTTCTCTGCTTTTTCCCTCGTCGAGTTTCACGTCTGAATGCGTGCAAGGGTCTTCGTGCTTCATATTGTTGTTGATGTGTGTGACGTTGTTGGCGTAAAGAATGACGTAATTCTCGCAAGATTTGTCGGGGGCGCTCCTCTCAAACTTGCATTGCTGGTTTTTCCAGCCGCCCCCCCCCCCCAAAGCTTCACTACCAGGATGATTCGCCCTACTATGAGTGTGTTTACCACCGACATGACTTTGAAGCTTTTATATTAAAGGAACACACTGACTTTTTGGGACTTTAGCTTATTCACCACATACCCCAGAGTTACATAAGTCCATACCCTTTTTCATCTCTGTGCGTGCTGTAACTCTGTCTAACGCACCCACCACTAGCCTAGCTTAGCACAAAGACTGGATGTAAATGGATACAGCTAGCATAATCCCAATAAGAGACAAAATAATGCAAACTTTTCAGGGATACATGGAGACTGGTAACAACTGCAACAGTAGTGACCACCCTATTCATATAATAGTGTCACTAACGTTACATTATATCTAGGTAATGGCACTGTTACAGTAGCCTAGTCATCTAAATATATAATGGAACACTTACCGCAGCCGCAGGTGATCCACTTTGTCCTGTCTGTGCTATCGATAGGGTGGCCGCAAATTTCATTTTTTCAAAATAGTCGTCCTCAGTGAAATGTACTGAGCAAACACGATGGTCGTTGATGATCTCTTCAGGTGTGTTTGGATCTAACATTACCCAGAGCAAGTAACATTGATTCATCAGGTCAGCGTTTTTGGTTGGAATTCTATGAATCATGGTATTACCCGGTCTCACCTGTTTATTGTTACAGCTACAATACAAGGAACATCCATGATTGTAAACTATGCTTTTACTATCTAGTAATCCTCTGAACGAACTCTCTGCTCCTAACCACGGTGTGTCTCGGTGCTGCGGTAATCACTCCTCCCAGGCCCTAGCAGTGCTTCGCCTTCTGAGAATATAGTTCCTAATATTTATACGGTTAAAAGATGGCTGTGACCTTGTTATTTGTACACTCTGTGAGTATACAAATCACAATATGTAAATAGGAAAATGTTTGCATTATTTTGTCACTTATTTGGGATTATTATGCTAGCTGTATCCATTTATATCCAGTCTTTGTGCTAAGCTAGGCTAGCAGTGGGTGCGTCAGACAGAGTTACAGCACGCATGGAGATGAAAAAGGTATGTATGGACTTATCTAACTCTGGGGGATATGGTGAATAAGCTAAAGTCCCAAAAAAGTCAGAGTGTTCCTTTAAGGTACAATTCTTGCATAGTGTGCCTTTAAACGAGTGTCTGTTCGTTGAACTGTGCAAACTGAATTAGCCCAAACTGGGACCAAGTAATTTATGGCCGATACTGCGGCCAATTCAGACAATGCCAACATGGACAAACCCATCAAGCTCACATCATGCTACATTTGCCCCCATCATGGCTGGGTGGAACCCTTTTTTAAGACTATAAAGAGAAACCAACCTTGGTGAGATATCACAGCCCTGCTGCATGAAGGCCCCAAGAGAGAACCACAGGCTGTTAAAAATCCCAAAGTCATTAGGCGGGTCTGGAGGGGTCTGGGGGTCTTTGGCTTCATCAGTCTCATCCAGGTGCCACTCGTAGGGGCTAAAGCGGCTCACGAGGAACAGCACCACACTGACGCCGATGTAGGCGAACACGATACACATCCAGATCTCGTATGCCAGAGGGTCCAGGAAGGAGAACACACCCGGCTTGGACTTCTGGGGTTTCTTGATCATAATGGAGATCCCCAAACTCATGAAGGGCTTCGAAAAGTCGATGACTTCCTCTCGCACAAGCGTGATTGTTAACGGTGCGACGGCTATATCTGCTCTCTGGAAAACGGGGACATGAACAGAACGTGTTAGAGCAGAACACGCAGCAGTGCAATAAACAAGCAATGCAATATGACTGTATATCTGCAGTTCTCAGAAGGAAGGCTATACTGCACAGGGTCGTAACTCTTTTCCCGCCGCTGACCGAATTTATACGCTAGGTGGCGCTGTTACACAATTTCTGAAAGGGTAGAACATTTCCAGATCAAAACACAAGCAAAAAAAAGTAGCAGATACAAGCACTAATCGTATAATGACACCAAACAACTGTGGGTGCAATGCACAGTGTGTCCTGTTGGTGGCAGTAATGGGGAAATCATTTGTTGTGACGGAACTTTTATGTCAAGAAGAAATTCCTCCACTTTAGTCAAGAAGGAGCTTTACATGTTCATCATGAGGCGAGCTACACCACCAACAAAAAGATACAGGTAACGAAGTATCTTCAGTATGTGCACATAATTTAAATTGTGAAGATTTTGTTGATGTGGAATATAGAATAGAGCTTTTATTAACACATGATAATGTTACAGATTATCATAAGCACATTTTCAGATGACTGCCTAAGTTGAATTGTGGATATGTTTGGTTTATGTTATGCAAGTATATGTGTCATAGTTTACAGATGTAAAAAAGTGTCTAGATATGCTTAGATGCTAAAAATGTGTTATCATTATATCACACTAGAATAGAAAATTACTTTATGAAACATTCGAGGTGAAACTTTTTTATTAGTTTACTTCTAGAGGGTGACATGGTGAAAAATGACTTGAAATAATACTGAAAATAGGCCAAGATGAATGTTAAAGGTGTGTCCCCTAAAAGCACGAGTGGCTTCGGCCTGGCCCCCAGTTACTGTGGTCTGGAACCGCCATTGCGTCGTACACATGAGTTTCTCAGCTTTTTGTTCAAAATGTTGCTTTTTTTAATGAAAATAACCCACATTCAAGTGTTGATAAAAATGAATGCATGAAGCTAGAATTTTTTTTTTGTTCTTTGTTCTTTATTTTGACATATTGCATTTAAAAAAAATTCAGAATATTCTAGGGGCCATGTAGGTTTTGTGAAAATGATCAAAAATCCTGGCAACTTTTTAAAAGACGCTGGCGGGGAAAGGCTTAATGGAATATTCCGGCTTTGGTGGGTTGCTGTTGGTTATCACTGACAAACCTCAGTTTATAAAAACAAGAACCACAATAACAGCAATATAAAAGATAATTTAACCATCATTTTAGGCCGAAAGTTTTTTAAATTAATATTTTTTTTTTTGTTTTTTTTACTTAAGCGGAATGGTATGAAACTTGGTAATTTTTCTGAAAAAGATGGAAAAAACTGGAAGAATCCTAAAATACAGAGGGATTTCTTTGGGGTACAATCTCCAAATCGGTCACTACGGACGAAGTAGCATTTGATAACATCTATGTCCAATTGCAAAAGTATTTCCAATTGCAAGTTATGTCTGAAAACACTCTTATAGGCTAATAGGGAACACACATCCCGATATATTTATACAGAGGGCTGTACAGGCATCTATTGGTATTTACACCATGGTATTGCACAGGATTTTCTTTATTTCTTTACACAAATCTGCCTTCCATGAATTGGATTTTAAATACCTTTGCTCTATTTTATTTTTATTTTTTTACTTAAACACTGTATCAATTGAGAATAATACTAACATGATTTTTTTTCTTCTCATTTTTGTATTATTTTATATAGAAGTAAATGGTGCATAATTGAATTTGAATTGTCTAGCACCAAGATTTATACACAGAAATGTTTTTTAATGATTTTATCAGTTTTTCCTTTTTAATTAATTAAAAACAAAAAATCTAATGTAAAACAATCATCCATCATTTTGTGGCAGCCTAATTTCACTGAGTCCACTTACATTTGTAAAATGTAGGATTAATTGATCTATATTTTCGAAAAAACTGGGTTTTTTTAAACAAGATGAGACTAATGTCAAAATATAAAACCGTTTAATAAAATAATTAGGGCTGTCAAACGATTAATCGCGATTAATTGCATCCAAAATAAAAGTTTGTGTTTACATAATATATGTCGGTGCACTGTAGAATTATTTTATATATATACACACACACATGCTTGTATATATTTAAGAAATATTTTTTATGCATATACTATACATAGATTTATATCTAATTTACATTATATATAAATATTTTATATATAATTAATATTTTTTTTCCTTAAATATACATGCATATGTGTATTTATATATATATAAAATAAGTATACACAGTGCACCCACATATACTGTATTATATAAACACAAACTTTTATTTTGGATGCGATTAATCGCGATTAATCGTTTGACAGCCCTAAAAATAATATAGCAGCATTGATTTTGTTGTCATTTAATAGAATATATTTTCGCCTTTATGCTGAAGTGTGGAGATGACAAGAATAAGTTATTTGTAGCTTTACTCAATAAATTGCTATTCAGCATATAGCATAAATCATGCGTAGACATAACAGTCTGGTAATTTGCTATATCTTTGCACGTATCATGCCAAGTTTTCTGCGTTTATATAATCATCACATGATTTTGGAAAAATGTGATATAATTTGCAGTGACAAATCCATAAAGAGATGTTACGGCACCACTTTCAAAACAGTGATTAGTGCACTACTGTAAAAGCACAGTTTTTTTGTTTTCACAAAACGAGAGACAGGACATTTTCAATTTATTTTCAGTAGGTAATCAGATGTCCACACTGTGTTGAACCATTTGGACGAATCAATCATATCTGCCACAGAACATTACATGTCGAGCTAGAAAGGCGGACATTTTGTGTTTTCTCAGGCCATGGTGTTCGGAAGGAAACCAGGAAAAGGACTTTCACTGCCTCACTGCCTGACCGTGTAGCGCAGAAGTGACAGCTGAGCATTCACTTGACCAGATAGCGAGAGTCTTGCTAATTTCAGTGACCCCTACACTGCTGTATCGGCCTCAGACAGAGCGTGATCAGATCAAGCGGGAGACTTTGTTGGAAAATCCTATTTCAACGCTTCCCTTCTCATGCTTCACATAATGTTGCTGTGGGAGCTGCAGATATGAGGCACAGCCGCTTTCCACTTCCCATAATCCTCAGAGGCACTCTAGCATGAGCATATAATAAAAAGGCAGTGAAAGATTCGATCTCACATGTGTCCTCAGCCAGGAGGACATTAGTTATGCAATCAGGGAGTATAAGGTCACGGAAACTCTGCAGGTGAACGCTGGTTATAAAAGCCTCTACAAATATTAATATCCTTTTATCTTGTGGTTTAGTGAATGGAACTCGGGTGTACTGTCTCAATAAATCATAGAATCATTTGCATATAAATAGCTAATTAAGAGTCTACCAGAAGTGATTTATCAGCGAGGAAGAAAAATGCCTCAAAACTCTCAACGTCTAGATAAATAATCGCATGTGATCATTCTAGCTTTCAAATTAGCTATGTATTGCACAAACTTGCACAGGTAAATCCAATTGATGTTAAAAGCAGACCTGTTGATAAAACACGAAAGAAAAATAACGAGATAAAGAGGTGTCAACTAATCCACTTATTTCATTTAAAGGAATCCCAGAGGATTCATTTATTTTTTAATCTGCTTATGGCAAGGAACGGAAAACAAACCCACGAACGCTGTAGCCTTATAAAAGCACAGAGCTGTCTGAAAACTTTGAGTCAAGAGATGACAGGAGTGGATCATATGATTATAATTTGATTAGATGATTATAGTATCAATCCGCGTTGGGGAAGTTATTTTGAAAGCGAAGCTTCCGAGCGGTTAAACTACAGTCAAGCTAAACGCTTTTGAAAAAGTCATTCGCTACACTACAAGCTATTAAGAAAAAGCTTAGCATTGACGACTATATATTGAAAGGCCATTCTGCGAGATAACCTTTGAAAGACTTGCAAAATCAGATGAATATATTTGTCAAAAGGTCAAACGTGGCTGAGAAACGTCGGTCCAGCTGAAAGGCGGTTATGCTCGACGGTTCCTTGGTGGTGATATTTTTTCGTTCTTATCTCCACATGCAATTTTTTTTTTCCATTTTGATAATAATTTGAGGATAATTTCAAACGTTTGCACATCAAAACCAGGCAATCTCTCTGGCTGATGGTAAGGAAATTGAACAGATGAGGTAGCCTAACCCTCATGCATTTTGTATATGGTCTTCATTCTTGAATGTCGGCTTGGGGAATTGGAAGTGATTTCTCTGGGTTTTCCTCCATTTATAGCTGGGGAGCGCTTTGACAAATGCAAAAATGGCGGGCTGCCTGGACGCACTGTGAAAAGTGCCTTTGAGATCCAACAGCATACAGAGGAAAACAAAGCAGTGCATGCTGGGAAGGAGCATGTTTAAAGACACAATGTAGCCACCCGCACTGTCTGGCTGCGGTTATAGTTGAATGACACCCAGACATTTCCAGTCAGTTTCCCCACGCTCCTTCCCATGAACGGAAGACAAAAAGGCAATTCACTTCTTCCAAAGCCTTATTTGACAGCAATTTCTCTATATCATTTATGCAAGGTTCATGAATACATGATCCACTACTCACCCCATAGACTAGTTCACCCACCATCCCGTTCCAAGTCTTGGTCTCAGGGTCACGGGCGCCGTACTTTCCGTCCATGACTATGGACAGTCTGTACTTAATCCCAACGTGTTTGGCAATCTCAGAAGCTAAATCGACACAGTAGCCCTCATACTTGTCATTGCCTTCCAGATGCATGTGGTTTTTCTTGTACATCACATATGGTGCTTCCTGTTAACCAAACACACACTCGTTTATTACCATCTTTGCTTATTGCTTTCATTGTCTGGCGTCACAGGCACCAGAGCCCACCAACAGCTTATCAGTCACAGGCATGCAGGCATGCTGGGATATTCATACATACCAACCCATTCTCTCACACACATAATCCACCAAACTGGAACACAAGAGAAAGGACAGAAGCAGCAGACAGGGAATTGCGGGACATTGATCCACATGTGGCCGTGGTCAGACAGCTAATCGCCCGAGGCCCTCTTTACACCTGATATTAACCTCTGTCTCAGGTGATCCAATCACGAGTGGTCAACTGAGACGAATTGTTGTCTAGAGTCTGAGAGTTAGTCTACATTCTGCCTGGTCATGGTCTGGGACTCGACTTGTGGCTGTCTGAGTTCCAGCTTTATAGTTTTAAAGTAGCTACAGAAAAGTTGCAAGAAATTCATGGCCTTGACTGACTATATATAGTGGCACAGTGTTAGAAATTCACCTTTTTTCTGTTTTGGTTCATTGACAATTGGCAGCCTGGTTCCTAGATGGCTGGGCCTTGGTTTGGGTTGGTGCTTTGAGAGGTTTAGTTTTGATCTTGGTCTTGGGATCAAAACCTTTGAGATGGATGATATCAGGTGTAAACGAGGTCTGAGACCACAAAGAGCATTGGAGACAAATAAAAGTAGGTTATGGCGCTTTTCACTACACAGTACCAGCTCGACTCGACTCGACTCGGCTCGCCTTTGTTTGGTTCTCCACTGTGTAAAAGTTGTCCCTGTACCTCTTTCGGGTACTTTTTTGTACCACCTCCGGCGAGGTTCTGAGGCGATACTAAAATGTCACATGAAAACAATGCCGACTGCTGATTGGTCAGAAAGAAGCGTCACCATTCACTGTGTCATCATTGCACGCGCCAGATGGAGTATCCAGAATAACCCCGCTATTTTTAAATAATTTGGCCAGAGATAGTTACTAAACTTACTATTATCATTATGGCAACTCCGAAGAATTAGCCGTGGTCAAACGAGGAGGTGCAGATGTAACGGAGGCCAGCTAGTAGTTGCTGTGCAAGTAAACCTCACTCCCCTGATCTCAATAGGCGCTCTAGCAACAGACTTTAGCCTCCTTGTTAGAGCACCCGACTCTCACGCCGGAGACCCGGGTTCGAGGCCCGCTCGGAGCGGGGCGAGTGGGACCCGGGTGTAGGGGTTTCACAGACTTTTCTTTGTTTTGTTGCTGAAGAGAGGATCCAGCGAGAGCTTGATGGGGCGACGAGGAACGAAAGGCGTCGTTATGACAACCGGGTACTAATTGTGGCGGTACTGTCTGCAATGGAAATGCAGAGTCGAGCCGAGTTGAGTCGAGCTGGTACTGTGTAGTGGAAAAGCGCCATTAGATTCTGCTTCTCTCTTTCACACGCACACACACACACGGCCGTGGTGCAATATCCCAAGGGTCTGAGATGCATTGGCATAAGTTGAGGGTGAAAGGTGAGGTAGGTGAGGTAGGCAAGAACGTATGAAGTGAGAAGGAATCCGATTCAGGAAGTAAATGGCAGTGACTGCAGAGGAATCATAGTGTTGATTCTGTTCAAGCAAGTTGCACCTAGTATATGCGCCAGAAGCCTTCATCATTCCAACAGAAAGAACATTGAACATAGCCCTGCTAAAAAGACCAGCTTACACCAGCATGAATTTCAGGCTGGATTATGCCAGGTATTGCTGTTTCGTTCTAGCCGGTGGACCAGCACAGGTCGACCAGCATGGGCATTCTGGTGATGCTGGCTGACGAACTGGTTTAGCTATTTACACCAGCACACCAGGATGTCATGCTGGGGCCCAGCATCCAAAAACACAATATATGGTCTTTTCAGTAGGGAAGCAAAAAACAAAGCCGTCGTTGGAATCCAAACTCAAAAGCACTTTGTCAACATACAGAAAATTGTGCAAGCTGGTTTTATCCTCTCTTTCGGCCCCATTTCAAACACTGCGGCACCGGCTTGCTTTTTTAAGCACATCATTATTACCAAACAATATGGCTTCTCGCAGAGAGAACGCATCCCATTAGAGTCGGAGACAATTAGGGTACCAGTGGGTTAGCGATGGTTTGTTTGTTCTGTGCTGAATGTATCCTCTCACCTCATCTTTTGTGCGATTGTTTTCCTCCTGAATCCCACAGATGGAAAACCGACAGCTGCTGGTTTAATTGCTCACATCCAAGTCATTTGAAAGATTGACCTTGGTTTTTGGTGAAACAAAACAATTACAAGCGATTGCTGTTTTACATGGGATAATGTTGTGAGCATTGATTTGAATTCCTCAGAGATGCGTGTTCGCCGTGCCAATTGGAGGCTGATGCTAAAGCTAACGCGGTTAACGGCGGGAGATGAAGTGACACGTCAGCACAGAGCAGTCCACCGGTCAATGTAAAGTGGATCTGCGCAAAGGGTTCATTCGTGGCCTTGCTCAAATGCGCTTGTACTTTGCCAGAGGCAAACCATCGAACCCTTCTTTGGTGCGGTAAGCGTTAGCTTGCTGTTCTAGCTCATGTGTCATTGACCATTTACTTGATGAGTGGAAACAAGTCTTACCTACATATGCATTGAATGTCTACTTTGATGATGTCAATGTAAAACCATCATACCTAATGCCGTTATTGTGATGTCACTGCTACGACAGGCCACTGATGTATGGAAAATCAAAATGCTTTGACACCCACACGAATACAGTTGAAACACTCATGCGCCGCTTTTTCCTCGCGTTCGACTGTTTCAACGTGTAATGAGTGGGTGGAAAGCAACACAAAAGAAATGTACTTCTACCCGCCCAGGACAGAATGTATCAATCTAGGAGTCAACACCATGACCCTGATGGGCAGAATATGCGACACGTTTAAAACGTCATGGAGCGTGTACCATAATAGTAGTGACCACAATTGTTCGGTTTTCCACTGAGGAGGAATCGTTGGTGAACTGCTGATCCATTATATTAACAAAGCGTTCAAACTCGTTCCAGTATCCGATCTGCAAAGGGAAAACGTTCATGTTATTATCAAACAACAGATAGTTTTACTGCACCAATGCCAACTACAGTAGCAACCCCCTCCCCAGCTCTTCTGCTTGGCTAAGGAGCTGTTGTGGATGCGTGCTCTCATAAGATTGTACTCATTAAAAAAGTATTAGGTCTCTGTGCTGCTGTCGTTATTGCCTGGAGTTAAACAAAAAAGGCAAATTCTTGGCTGACATTTGTTAAATGGGAAAAAAATGCGTATGGTGGAATTTCCAGGGACGCAAAAGCTGGAAGTTGCTCTTGGATGTAATTCTCTTCAGCTAAAACTCAACTGGGGTTTGATTAGTGCATTCTGCTATGAAAAGGTGCAGTGCGTTTTCTCTTTGTTATATGCTTGAGTTGTCAGAACCGTTAGCATAGCGCTAGCCACTGGGGCATCACTGAGGTGACACTGCACGGGGTCCAGCACCGTGTTGTACATCACTTCTGACAGTCACTGTCAATGTACGTTTCCTTACCGACCGTGACCCCATCTAACATTGGGCTAAACTACTCTTTTTCACTGAGATTGTTCCTGTGTTTTATAAAGGGCTGTTGCTATTAGCTCACAGGAAAGCTATGCATACTGGTTATGTTGATTCAAGGTCATTGGTTTGATCAACTATTTTGTTTGGGAATAGTGGCCTTAAAGGAATAGTTCACCCAAAAATGTTAATTATCCCATAATTTACTCCCCCCTCAAAAGGTGCAGTGCGTTTTCTCTTTGTTATATGCTTGAGTTGTTTAGTGGTTGAGTGTCAAGCCATCCTCCAAGGTGTATATGACTTTCTTCTTTCAGCCAAACACAATCGGTATTATATAAAATAATATCTTGGCTAGCATTTGTCCTTATAAAAGTTACATTTTTGGAATAAGTTTTGAAATAACCGATCGTTTCGCATGATAAGACCCTTATTCATCGTCTGATATCGTTTAAAGACATTTGAAGCTGCATCTGAAACAGTTTTTAACCGTCTTTTGATACTTGAACCATCCGGTTCCCATTGAAGTCCATTATATGGAGAAAAATCCTGGAATGTTTTCATCAAAAACTTCTTTTCGACTGAGGAAAGAAAGACATGGACATCTTGGATGACATGGGGGTGAGTAAATTATCAGCAAAAGTTTTTTCAAAAGTGAACTAATCCTTTAAAGGTTGTGAAAATAAAATAAAACATGAGTGTCAAGTTCAAAATGCTATTTTTAGTTAGTAGCAGTGGAGTGCTAGTCATTAATATTTTTGGTCTATTTTCTCTGACTTTATTTCTAAATCTGTCAAAGTTAATTTGGTCAGACTTTAGGAGTAAACTAGCAAATTTAACCTCAAACCTAAGAAAGAGAGGCCATTTTGGTAACCATCTGTTTCCCTTCCTTTTTAAGACAGCTGGTGTTCCCCTAAGTGTGCAGCTTTTCCCCCTTTACAACTTTAACGCTATTTATCATAAAACATCAATTCGAGTGAATAGAAGTCTTGAAATGGACCATGATTTGAGTTGTTACACAGATCTCAGTGAGCTTACACAGCAAATGGACAGATTCACTGCTGACTTACCTTTCTTGGTCCCCCTATTTTCATTTCATAAACATCAATAGTATAGTTTGATCTGCGACCAAAGCTGTCAAACTGGATATTGCCAGTCATCCCCGGCACCTGGACCTGCCAACAACAACAACAATAGGGTCATTCCTACAGTTTGGAGGATTTAATGTCCCCAAGAAACAATACTGCACATTTACATAAAATGTTAGTCAACTTTCACGCCACATAGTGCAATTAACACAACAAATTCCTAATGATTAGTACATACTGTCATGATTCTGCCTTCTTGTCCTTGATTTTCTTTATAAAATGTTCCCCTTTATAATCCCCTTGTGTTTGCTGTCCTGTGTTGGTTCATTGTTTGATTTTTGATTTGTGACTTTGTCATAAGTAGCGTCAGTTGTTGCTAAACTTACCTTGTGAGAGTATTGTCTAGTGTTATTAGTTTCTGTTGTTAGTTTATAGTCTAGTTGTCAAGTGTTAGTCTAGTTTAGTCATTCTGTGTTCTGTCCATGTTTTGCCCCCTCGTGGGTTTTATTTTCCCTTGTTTTCTGTATAATTAAACGTTGAGTCACTGCATCCAGTCTGCGCTTGGGTTCATCTGCTATCTTCGTGACACATACTGTAAGAATGCAAATATTCATTGAAGCACAGACAAATTCCCATCCCCAATCATGTTTTCTCAGCTTCATGTTAAAATAAAAGTTACATATATATTACTAAATGAGCAATTTTGAGTATTAGTGTATATACACATTTACGTATTCTTTTTTGTGATGCCTGTTTTTTTAAAAATATGTAATACCATTAAATTTGTTTATTTCCTTCAATCTCCAGTCCACCTTTTTACATTGGTGCTATTTGCCCTAAATCACATTGGCAGAAGTGACATAATGTCCTCCAAATGTTAATGTCCTTCACTCGCTAACTTCCCTTGGTCTCGTGGACTCGAATGTGTGTCATTGCTTATGTTGCACGAGTGCCCACAACTGGCAGAACTCGTGAATGAGGTTTAAATGAGACGTACAAAGCCCTTGATCACGAATTTGAGCTGGTTCATCATTTAAATCCCCTTTTCACTTATTAAGTTGTTTATGCACCGTTCTATATGCATATACACTAACCTAAAGGATTATTAGAAACACCTGTTCAGTTTTTCTCATTAATGCAATTATCTAATCAGCCAATCACATGGCAGTTGCTTCAATGCATTTAGGGGTGTGGTCCTGGTCAAGACAATCTCCTGAACTCCAAAATGAATCTCAGAATGGGAAAGAAAGGGGATTTTAGCAATTTTGAGTGTGGCATGGTTGTTGGTGCCAGACGAGTATTTCACAATCTGCTCAGTTACTGGGATTTTCACCACAACCATTTCTAGGGTTTACAAAGAATGCTGTGAAAAGGGAAAAACATCCAGTATACGGCAGTCCTGTGGGCGAAAATGCCTTGTTGATGCTGGAGGTCAGAGGAGAATGGGCCGACTGATTCAAGCTGATAGAAGGGCAACTTTGACTGAAATAATCATTTGTACAATCATTTGTGAAGCCACAACGCACACAACCTTGAGGCGGATGGGCTACAACAGCAGAAGACCCCACCGGGTACCACTCATCTCCACTACAAATAGGACAAAGAGGCGACAATTTGCAAGAGCTCAACAAAATTGGACAGTCGAAGACTGGAAAATTGTTGCCTGGTCTGATGAGTCTCGATTTCTGTTGAGTCATTCAGATGGTAGAGTCAGAATTTGGCGTAAACAGAATGAGAACATGGATCCATCATGCCTTGTTCCCACTGTGCAGGCTGGTGGTGGTGGTGTAATGGTGTGGGGGATGTTTTCTTGGCACACTTTAGGCCTCTTAGTGCCAATTGGGCATCGTTTAAATGCCAAAGCCTACCTGAGCATTGTTTCTGACCATGTCCATCCCTTTATGGCCACCATGTCCCCATCCTCTGATGGCTACTTCCAGCAGGATAACGCACCATGTCACAAAGCTCGGATCATTTCAAATTGGTTTCCTGAACATGACAATGAGTTGACTGTACTAAAATGGCCCCCACAGTCACCAGATCTCAACCCAATAGAGCATCTTTGGGATGTGGTGGAACGGGAGCTTCGTGCCCTGGATGTGCATCCCAAAAATCTCCATCAACTGCAAGATGCTATCCTATCAATACGGGCCAACATTTCTAAAGAATGCTTTCAGCACCTTGTTTGATCAATGCCACGTAGAATTAAGGCAGTTCTGAAGGCGAAAGGGGGTCAAACACAGTATCAGCATGGTGTTCCTAATAATCCTTTAGGTAAACATCCACCCTGTTGAGTAAAAATGTCATGTAAAAGGGTGGACGGACTCCATAGAATGTAAATGTGAAATCTGAAATATTTGGTCAGGATTAATTGGTTATACTAGCCTGAGCTTGACCTGTGTGTGTGTTTCATGATAAAACTGCAGAAATGACCAATTGGCGTAAAATACCAATTCTGCTTTGAATCATAAGAATACATTTGAATGTGTCACGACTGAATCAATGACTGGATTAAACATTGAGAGATAAGCCGAACGACTCTTGCACGAGCAAAGGAAAGTGTACCATTTTGAGAGCTCGCTCGATGTCGATTCCTTGGCTCCAGGGGACGGCAGGGTTAGCCAGGCAGTCTCCAGCACTGCCTCGGCGGGACACGTCGACCCGCTGGCGGCGTAGGTACCGGAACGCCTCCGCGATCACCAGGATAGCGTCGTAAGACAGCGCTGAAGTGTACTGTACACAATAACCCGTAAGCACCTCACATTAACAGCTGTTTGTTGGAGCGCTTTTAAATAAGCAAACGCATTATCGGTAAGTAAGCACTTTGAAGAGGGTTAAAATAGGCTGCCCTCTTCCAGGTCCACATGCGTATGTTGATGTACATAATGAAGGATAATTGCGATGCATTACTGCATGTAATCATAGTTGGCAGAGGGATGTAGCTTGCACATTGTTTCTTGCTATGTAAAGAGTGTTAACCAGGTTTCTAATTACAGAGATATGTAAAATGTTTAGTTATGTGAGACTCTACAGGGTTTTGCTGCTATTGTTGTGCAACCTGTAATTACATCCCGTTTCAACCAAGAAAAGAGAACAAGCTGGCATCTGCTCATTTGCTGTGAGCTACTCTTTTGCATTGCTTTTGTATCTCTTCAAAGCGACTACAGCAAGAAATTTAGCGACTAAAATAAATGCAATATAACAAAGGTAACATCAAAGGAGACATACATTGCACATTTACATTCCCAATTCAAAATGCCTTCATTAAAACACTGTCTTCACGCAAGCAAAGTGTGTGTGCCTGCATGTGCATTATTTATTTTTTTTTGGTTGAATTCAACAAAAACCTGTAAAGAAAAAACGGTAAAGCCATTATCCATAATGCATTATAAAGATATTCATAATTTATGCTATAATGCATTATATATTGTCATAAACAACTTTCACTCAAGTTAAAATGCATTATAATATTTGCAGATTCATTGTTACTTCCAAAATGGGTTGTTTGCCATGTGTTTTAATGCATTACAAACAAAAGTGGTTACAATTATTCATGAGATCATACAATGCGTTATACAGTGCATCACAACACGTAGTTGTATAATGCATTATATATAAAGGCTTTAAGTAAAAGTATTACAGAATAAATAAAAATATAAAATGACCCATTGATGTGAAATGTACTTATTTTTCATAAAAAATGTAAGTAGTGGTCCCCTAAAAAAGCTTAATTTTATTTATAGAAAATCTAATCTTTGGCTTTTGGGTGACTTTTCTTTCTAACATTCAGGTGTGTTTACACACTTCTTTTCCTTGTTCACTGATTCGATGAAAGCACAGTCACTTCTTACCCAGCCATCCATAATAAAACCTTAATTAAATGGCATTTGAAATCTATTCATCTCATGATCATTGTTTAATTAGATGTAAATTGAGCTCCAGCTTTAATAGAACCTCGGGCTGAATGTCAATATATCGACTGTGGCAAAGATGGAAAAAATAAGGAAAACAGCCAAAGAAAGTCAATAATCAGAAGGAAAAAAAAAGTACTTTCAGACCTTCAGAGGTGTGTTTCTAGCTTCAGGAAACTCTCTTTCATCCAGACGGTCCCATCTCTGGAGAAACTGCTGTACCACCGAGTTTTCCGGATTGATGATCTGGAAGCCGCTAATGTTTGCTCCGCCGAGAAACACCTTGTCCAGACTGATGTTGGTGAAGCCCTGTGGAAAGCGATGAAGGGGGAAAAAAGGACAGTTAGGATATATATATATATATATATATATATATATATATAACAGTGTTGTAGTACTCGAGACTCGGACTCGTCTCGGACTCGGTCTCGAGACCATATTTTAATGGTCTTGGTCTTGTCATGGACTCGTGTGCATTTGGATTCGGAATTGACTCGTACTCGAACATTTTTTTTTTAGGACTCTGACTTATTCCCGAGTCCACTCGAGTTCAATTCAAAATATTTTTCATGATTATTAATGTATGTTAATATTTCTTCAAATTGATTGACACGCCCAGTGATTGGTGATTTTCTAGTGCGCAACTGCGCATGACAAATTGTAATAAAATTACTTTTAACACCACCTACTATATGGCCTTTTTACCCTAAACTGATCATATTTTTTAAACTCTAAGTAAATTCAGTAAAAAAAATTCTCTAAGTAAATAAAAGTAAATTAGGTAATCAACCCTCACTGGTCTCGGTCTCGACCGCCTCTGGTCTCGGTCTCGACTCGGACTCGAGTGAGGTGGTCTCGACTACAACACTGATATATAACAAACATCACGTTGTTGTAGAAATTGAAGGTCTTATTTGTACAGAGTGAGTGGTCAAGTAGCAATTTAATATTTCTGGTTCAAAACTCAAAAGGGGACAAGCGTAATATGGCCAATCACTGGGGCTTCTTGAGTATTAACAGGTATTACGGTAACACTTTAGAATACGGTTCCTTCGTTAATGAATAACTACACAAGAACCAATGAGTAACACAATATTAACAATCTAGTAACTATTATTAACTAACAAGAAACTCTGATTAACGAACTAGTAAGTAATAGCGCACAGACGAAAGTGGTAGTTCACTATTAAGTAATCAATAACTACTATTTTTTTAATACTTCCCAGAGAACTACTGAAAAAGTTTATTAACAATCTAGTAACTACTATTAATTTAAAAAACTCTTATTAACGAATTAGTAAGTAATAGCTCACAGATAAAAGTGTTACTAGATACTTCTGTGGGAATTACTAATTATTTGGATTCGTATTATAAAGTGAAGATCATTGGAACTAACTAGCAATTATAATAATAATAATAATATATTTTATTTGTAAAGCACTTTTCATAGTTGAAAAAATCCCAAAGTGCTACAGAGTATAAACAAAGATAATAATAAAGATAAGTTACTAGATAATTACTCAAGTGTTACTAAAGACATTTTCTAAAAGTATACTAAAGTTCACCAAAAATCTCCAACGTTTGCGACTAGATCATGTAGTAACACTTGAGTAATTACTAGTTCCCATGATCTTCACTTTATAATACGGATCCAAATATATATATATATATATATACAAAATAATTATACACAATGCACCCACATATATTATGTAAACACAAACTTTTATTTTGTATGCGATTAATCACGATCAATCGTTTGACAGCCCTTATGATTACATACAACTAACCCTGAACCAAACCCTATGGTAAGTACATGTAGATGCTTAATATTACTCTGAACTTAAACACTGTAACGACACCTTAAAATAAAGTGTAACTAAACACTTTTTACTTTATTAAAACCAATTATTATTACACCAATTTTTTTGCATCAAACATTTTGTTGACAATCAAAAAAAAAACAAAAACATGCAGTGGATATTTAATAAAGCATATTTTCATTTTATTGAACATTCTTATTTATTTGCCAATGAACTTCCATTATTTCTCTCTTCTTTAGTTAGTGTATGAAGGTGCTGAAACTCACCAGATTGGCAATAACGTAATGGTAACCCCGACTGTTCTTCCCGAGTGTCACGACCTACAGGAAAGAGAATCAATAACAGTTTACAATCCATGTAAGAAGAGCGCAGGGGCCGTAAATCGCCCCCCAGGTGAGCTTCTCTCTCCATTTACTCTGTCTTAAGTGACAAAGACACTCCACATTGATGGATGTTTCCACATGAAGCGCCTGACAGTCTTTGATGTGCTTCCTTACTGTACGCTGGCCAACGGGAATAACACATGGACAAATCTCAACATTGCTGTGACCTCCTGTAACCTTCACCTCAGACCTCTGCAGGCAGTGTTCACTTCAGGACGTCACTTTTGAGTCGGAATTCGTTTTGAAATAAGGCATTAACATTTATTAATTTAGCTGACGCTTAACGACGCTTATCCAAAGCGACTTATCCAAAGCGACTCCAGCGACTCTGGAGCAACTAGGGGTTAAGTGTCTTGCTCAGTGGATTCGAACCCAGGTCTCTCACACCACAGGCATGTGTCTTATCCACTGCGCCATCACCACCTAGAGCCCGACCGATAAAGGATTTTGAAGGCCGATACCGATACAAATATTTTTGGGTTTTAAAATCCGATATTCCGATATATCGGCCGATATTTTATTTATTTATTTTTTTTTTTAAACTGGACATTATAGTCACACATTTTGTCATGCTTATTTGAGTTTAGAGAACTGATGGGGATGTTCTTTTAATTGTTATTCAAGCAATGTATGTATCGTGACCAACTCAACGAGTGTTGCCAACAGGGACTGTGGACAAACTATACAACTCCAACACTCATGACATGGTTCAAGCGTGTTTCGTCCGTTTTAAATTTATTGTTGAAATATTCATATATCGGCCATTATAACTGCCGATACCGATAGTTTGGAAAATTCCTAATATCGGCCGATAATATCGGTCTGGCTCTATCACCACCCCTAGTAGATCTCAAACACTGTAAAAACAGATTTTTTTGAAGTTGTAAATAAAATAGATTATTGTCATATGTAAAATAGTAAAATTCTATTTTAGAATTTCTACTTCACAATTCAATCTGTCACTGACATTTCTGTGAAAATTTAAAAATTTAAATTTAAAATTTTCGTTTAAAACTCATCTTTGGTTATCAAAAAGACACACACATATATATAAACATTTCCCAGTGAAAATAATTTCTTAATGCCTTACAATAGCTTGAATGTAACTCTACACCCTCGCTTCATTTATTATACGCGGATGCATGAATATGCAAATTGGGCCCCGCCTCCAGTGACTCACAGCAGCTCGATTGAAAACGGGCCAGTTTTTAAACTTCGTTTTTGAGGAAATTTTATTGAATTAATGCAAATTGAAAAGACAAAAAAAGATTATCACCCTTTTCCCATGCGTGGAAAATGTAGCACAAGAGAAGTATCCCTGCTTGCACACTCTGACAGCAGCAACACTGCAAACTCAGATCATGCTATGCATATCACAGAGTTCCTGAGCAGAAGATCATGAAGGAAAAGTGCATGGAAAGAGCAGAGAACAAGTAAGCAACTCCTGTCACCATTTATTAACTCTCATGTCTTCTGAAATGAGATGCTGTGCAGAACACCAGTAGACAGTGACTAGGCGCTGTCAAGCCCAAAAAAGAATGAAAAGAAGCATAAAAGTAGTTTCCATGACTCATACATTATATTTCTTTTTTTTGGAAAACAGAACAAAATTTTAGTTGTTAAAAAACATTCTAGTGGGTCCTGCTTCCACTAAGATGCGCTTTGGTCGATCGGATCACGAGTAGTCGAGGGAGACACATTCCCCTTTACTTAATCCATCTCTTTTGTCCACTTTCATCCCCTTCTGTCCTGATTTCCTCGAGGGGCTCGTCTATGGGCGGGTAAATGTATGTGTTTTTTCAGATCTTTCAATCTCATGGATGAAATCAGCTGACCAACGTGTCCAGAAATGATGGGAATACACACGGAGAGCAGCAGCTTTAGTTTCTGCTCTGACGGCCGCGAGACAAGCCGAATGCTGTGAGTGCGTGTTAGAAATCAGGAACGGTGAGAGAACGTTGGGCTTGGTATGTTTCTCATCTTCAAACCAAACTTGGGTCTCACATTCGTTATCGTCCGGGTCCCTGGAGACAGTCAGAAACAACGAAGAAACAACGCAGATCACAAACAGAAATAAAGTGGCACACTTCCAACAATGCCAAAAAAATCCACAATGCACACTCACATACATTTGTAAGGCTATACTATGCATACTGCCTGCAGTGCACTGAAACAAACACCTGCATGGAACTGTAAACGAGACTGTATGAGTTGACCACCAATAATTGTTCCTAGTTGTTTGATTTTTTTTCCCCATTCAGCTTTTTTTTAACAAATTTATTTTTTTTACTGCTTTATTTGCTCATTTGTTATTGCTGTTCAGTTCTGTCTTGGTCTCGGTCTCAGTCTTGGTCTTGGTCTCGATCTGTCTTGGTTTTGGTCTCGGTCACGATCTGTCTTGGTCTCGGTCTTGGTCTTGGTCACGATCTGTCTTGGTCTCGGTCACGATCTGTCTTGGTCTCGGTTGGTCTCGGTCACGATCTGTCTTGGTCTCGGTCTTGGTCTGTCTTGGTCTCGGTCTTGGTCTTAATCTGTCTTGGTTTTGGTCTCGGTCACGATCTGTCTTGGTCTCGGTCTCAGTCTTGGTCTCGATCTGTCTTGGTTTTGGTCTCGGTCACGATCTGTTTTGGTCTCGGTCTTGGTCTCGGTCACGATCTGTCTTGGTCTCGGTCTCGGTCTTGGTCTCGGTCACGATCTGTCTTGGTCTCGGTTGGTCTCGGTCACGATCTGTCTTGGTCTCGGTCTTGGTCTCGGTCATGATCTGTCTTGGTCTCGGTCTCGGTCTCGGTCACGATCTGTCTTGGTCTCGGTCTTGGTCTGTCTTGGTCTTGGTCTGTCTTGGTCTCGGTCTTGGTCTTAATCTGTCTTGGTCTAGGTCTTGTCTTGGTCTTGGTCTTGTCTTGGTCTTCAACCCATTTACACCTGTATTTAGTGTCATCCACTTGTGATCCAATCGACCAAAACACATTTCAATAAAGGTATAAACAGGGCCAAACCTATGTGCACTTTGATTGGTCATAAGACACATGAGACCCAATGCTATTTGGCTACTGTCAAACCGCGAGGGGAACCGCCCAGCATGATGCATGTTCAAGTTTTAATCTAACACAAAGCTCTGACATGGCTTCAGGTTACAGGGAATACACCACAGTCATACTATGGTCCTTTTTTGTCCTTTAAACTAAATGCTTTCTATAGTGGATATTCTACAGTATATGTGTCTGTTTGTTCTGCATTAGAGAAACCCTCCTATGGATTTGGAACAACATAATTGTGTGTTGATAAATGACAGAATTCTCATTGTTGGGTCAGGATGAACCTTCAACGATTCCCCCAAACCTCAAAGACTGTGATATAATGACACAGCCGTAGCTTTTGCCGTAATGCCCTTGACTCTTGGCTCCACCGAAGGTTTCTGGAGCCAGTAAGGTCATCAGTCCTGTCCCACAAACAAATACAGCCACGGGCTCCTCACACCTGAGCGGAAACTGGCGGAAGAACAGAGATCTCCACGAACTTCACCGCCTGCGAGCCGCAGGACGACTCTACAACCTTGATGAGGAAACAGCCAGAGCCTAATGACACGAATCCATTCTCAGGGTCCAGGCCAAGACCTGATGCAGAGCACAACAGCTAACAGAGTGTACATGTTGGCTGAACCAGTACTTCGAATAACCAGGGATATTCCTCTTACAGGGATGTTTCTTTATTTTACCGTTTCTTTAGTGTATAATATAATAGTTTGTGATCTGCAAAGTTACAAATTTCACACCAAAGGGAGTGAATCTCTTCAACAGAAAACAACTGCCTGAAACAGCTTGCCATTATTTCCGTGACTTTGCGGCACATTTGCATAATACCCATCTACTGGCTTCTTTGACCTTCCCTCAAAGAACAGTTGGGTACGGTGGCATAAAAATATTTGAAAAACGCTGTTTGGAAGTTAGTTCTGCTATGAAACAGACATCCACTCTTGGATTGTGTGTGTAACGGAGGCCAGCTAGAGAGAGTCGCGCTGACGGCTGCTAGAGAAATGCGGTGTTTAGTGTCATTGTTAGCCAGAGATGGGGACTCGAGTTTGAGACTCGGACTCGAGTCGCACTTGAGTCACACAAACAGCTGACTTCAGACTTGACTCGTGACTCGACCCAAAAGACATCAGACTTGACTTGCGACTCGACCCAAAAGACCCTGTTTTCATGCAATTATTGCTTTTTAAATCTAAATTCATTTAAATGTATTTCTATTTTCTTTTATTGGCGCAAACGTTAGGGAAGCGTATGATTAGCTGCATGTCCCCCACCTTTGTCATACTGTGCATGAGACAGAGCATATTTAGGCCACGCCCACACCTGGGGAAAACAATCCAACCGACTCCATTGACTTTGCGTCTGTAGATTTCTCATAATTTCAACAAAAGTTGGCATTGTATATCATCCCGCTGCTCCGCGATCTGCACCGTCATCACAGACAAGAAAGCGCTCTCTCTCTCCCTCTCTCTCTCTCTTTCCAGTTCAATGTTGTCGGATCCAAATATGGTCATTTCCTTTTAATCAGCAACCAATCGTGAAAGTAAATGGGGGATTTAACTCTAAATGAGCAATCTCATTGGCCTGATGGAAATCTTTAGATCCCGTTTTGGGTTTTCTCAAACTCCAAGTCTGAAATCTCCACTTCTTCAGTAGCACCTATATACCAAACCTAATACACCAAACTGTCCGATCTTGTACCTAGTTTTATTATGAAGACTATTACAGATGGATTTGTAAATATATTATTCCTAGCTTGATTTATATAACATTGTTTTTCTAAAAACATGGCAAAAATCTATTTAAGGCTATCTGATTACAGGATGACAAAAGTAGATATCCATAAATATCTATTTTTCCCCCATCTATTACTGTATGTGGACACAACAAAAAAATTATTTGAAACCT